AAAAACATTGATGTGAGAGAGACACACCGAGTGGTTGCCACCCACACGGCCCCAACCGGGGCTGGGGACAAACTGCAACCGAGGTACGTGCCCTTAGCAGGAACCAAACCTGGGACTCTCTGGTCCTCAGGCCGACGCTCTAACCGCTGAGCCAAACCAGCCAGGGCTCAAGCGTTTATTTATCAGTCTAATTTGTTATGTACCAATTATAATAGTTTTTTATTTAATACTAATCTAAATAAACAAAAAGGACCTATAAGATAACAAAATGATAACACAGGTATCACCCAAAAAAACTGTGAGGGAAAAAGAGTAAAACATGTAGTCAAGTCACTTTAGACAAAATAATCTTTACTGTTTCTAAAGATCCCCAGAAAAAGTCAACCATATATTTTCAGTGAATGTTCCAATATTTAACTCTCCCTCACAGCAAACACACTCTAGGCTTCCTATGGGTCACAAAAGCATGTGGGCCCACAATTCCTTGTGGTGATATTGATTGTGCCATCCTGAAGGGGGCAGAGAGCTTCCTTTCTATCCTTCAGAAGAAACTATAATCTGGACTTGGACTAAGTGTTCTATTCAACACCCCATGTGCCACTTCTCACACCAGTCTGCCAAGAGGAAAGCAACTGGGTACTAATCTTTTAGTTACTTAAGCTCTGCCTGGGCTGGCATGATAAAATGCCACTGAGAGAAACCTAAAAACATTAGAGTCTCAAAGTGCATATGCACAATTTTTATTCTTTTCTATATAAATAATGACATTTAAGAAATCTGCTTCCTTCATCTAGCAAATGTATACTGAATCCTTACTATATGCCAAGCCCTGTGACAATATGGCATCTTTGTTGTTCAAGTTTCATTAAGTGACAGCTATGTGGCCTATTCCACTAGGCAATGAAGGACTTTAGAGAACCACAGCCATCTTCCATTTTCAAGGTATTAGAATGATAAGGTAGAAATTTTCTGTTACAAGTTTTTTTAAAAGGAGCTGTTACATAGCAGAGATTGAAAAAAAATGGTTCCCAAACTTTAACACGCACTATCACCTACTGGCTCAGTGGGTCCAGGGTGGGCTTAACAATTTGCACTTCTATCAAGTTCCCAGGTGATGCTAATGATGCTGGTCAGGGGACTATAGTTTGAACCTACTGCACTAGGTCAGGGGTTGGCAAACATTTCCTATAAAAGGCCAGACATATATTTTAGGCTCTGTGGGACCATACAGTCTCTGATGCAATTACTCAAAGTGCAAAAGCAGCCATAGACAATATGTAACAAAATGGGTGTGCCCATGTTCCAATAAATCATCATTTATGGACAATGAAATCTGAATTTCATGTATTTTTCAAAAGCACGTTAATTTGATATCTTTTGGTTTTTTATAACTATTTAAAACCAGAAACCATTCTTAGCTTGTGAGCCATACAAAAACAGGTGGTGTGCTGGATTTGGCTCAGGAGCCATAATTTGCCAACTCCATTCTAGATGAATGGTTAGTTCTCAATCCTGGCTCCTCATCAGAAATACTTAAGCCCCATCCCAAGAGATTCTATGTTAATGGTTTTAAGCCCTAAGATGATTCTCATGTACAACCAGGAATGAGAACTACTGCTCTTAATGTTCCCCCAACTGACTTCTAAGGATATTTAGGGTTTAATAAGCCTTATATCAATAAAGATTTCTGGGGTCAAGTAAGTTTTAAAATAAAGTTAAAAATTTTTTTTTACTGCAGGATTTGTCACAATATGCTCACAAATCTGTAAGAGGGGACTATAGTATGTGATATTTTCCAGATTTATTTGACCACTAAACCCATAGATCTAGTGTTCTATGAAGTACTTGGGAAAGAAACACTTCTCTAAATCTTTCATAAAGAATACCAGATATTTAATACTTAAATTCATATATGTACAGCAAAATATGAGCAGAAATTAATTGAAAAATGAGAAATACAGTTGGTTATTGTCAAAACAAAAAATTTAGCTCTGGCCGGTTTGGCTCAGCGGTTAGAGCGTCGGCCTGCGGTCCTGAGAGACCCGGGTTCGGTTCCCGCTAAGGGCACGTACTTCGGTTGCAGTTTGTCCGCGGCCCTGGTCAGTCGTGCGGGTGGCAGCCACTCGATGTGTCCCTTTCACGTCGATGTTTCTCTCTCTCTCTCTGTTCCTCTCTCTCCCTCCCACTCTACCTGAACAAAAAAAATGGGAAAATGTCCTCGGGTGAGGATAAAAAAAAAAAAAAAAAAAATTTAAAAGTCAAGCTCCTGTAAATCTGAACAAATAAAAAATTCAAAAAGCCACAAAATAACAGACAAGTCTTTAAAAAGAAAGGGGAAAATATAATGATCAATTGGACCAAAAAATCAAAATCAAAGACGGTTTCTACAAGGTCAAACCTAACACTAAAGATGTAGAAAATATTAACACATCAGTAACTCTGGAAGAAACTAAAAAAAGAATTGTCAATGCCCTAAAACCCCCATTTAAAGAAAAGGAGATAATGATACAGGGTCTCAATAGATTTACTGGTAAATACTCTCAAACTTTTCGAGAACTTAATAAATCCAAAGGATTTTAGCATTATCTACTGGCCAGATAGATACACAGTAGGCACTCAACAGAGTAAACATATTTTTGAGAAATACATTCAAAACAATGTCAAAAACAACTTTATTCTAGAAAAGAAAAGTCTTTGTATCACATCATTTCCATGGTACCAGTAGCAGTCAGTAACTCATGCCCTGAAGCATTGAACTGCTAAGGTTCTTCCTCCTCAACCCTACATGAGGAGAAAAGATACAACAGTATATAACTAAAAAGAAACAACAGTATATAACTAAAAAGAAACAAAAAGCTACCAGGGACCACTGAAAAGAAAAGTCAGTGAAACTAACCCCTTATTTCGTTCAAACCAGAGTATCCCAGTAACCTATATGACTAATTAAAAGGACACTTTCCTGACATGATGAAAGACCAAAGCACAAGCTATTAATGTAGCTAAATAAACTCTACCACGTAAGTGAACTCTGCAGATAATACAAATGAGACAAATAACTTCTAGGGAACTGTATGTTTGTTATCTTACTATTTGATGTGGTTAATGGCCACAAATGCAGCAACAGCCTAATGGTACCCTTCAGGCAGTATGGGTCACACTATCCAAAAGCGTGGCATGTGTATATCAACAGTGATATAAAATAACAGCATTCTACATTCAAAGACAACTTATACAAACCAATAAGTGCCTAATGAGTTCCGGAGCACAAGAAAAGACTTCATATTACTAATTCATTGTAAGCAACACTTCACTAAATCCTCAATTCTAAAATATGAAAAAAAGGTTTTATAAATAGTTTAAATAAAAAGATCATTTCTATTAAATATTTTAATATGAATCAATGAGCTATTGCAAGTCTAAATAAAATTGAGTCAAGATTAGAGAAAGACAATGAAGGGAAAAAATACTCTTTTTAGATGACATGACAGCCTATTTAGAAAACCTAAAATATCTGGCACAACATATACTCAGTGCAACATAACTCTGAGATCACCATTATCAGATTTATTTTCAGAACATATTGTCCTCTATAGTAGACAAGTATAGCAGACCACACCTTATTCTTAATAGAGATAATCTGAAAAAAGAAATGGATCTGAGTTGAAAATAGGTAAGTACAGGGCCAAGAAAGGTAAGTTAATTAAAGTCATAGAACTGACAAAGGCCAGAAGGATGATCTGAATCCTTGTATAATTAATTCCCAAGCCTGTACTTGTTCCACCTCACCGTAGTGTCACAAGGCACCTTTAGTTTAAAGATAGTTTCTGAACACCTACTTTGCACCAAGCACAGAAATATAAAAATGAGTAATATACCATGTTTTAAAGAGACCTAAGTTAAATCAATTGCCTAATTATTTGCTTTAAAACCTACGTCTCCTAAATCCAACTTCAATGATCCTCCCACCACAGTCACTACATATCTAAAAACCATATATTCTAACATGCAAAGTATTACTCTTCCTATGTGTAATAAATACCATTTAATTGTTATTGTAGAAGGTTATTCTAAGAGCACCAAAAAGTGACAATTCACACAATTTTATGGTGTGCTTTTGAGGCATCCTCAGTCCTAGACACACACAAAAAAGGTGAGAAAAAACTGGGGGAGGAGGAAAGCAGAAGAGCTGAGTTCTAAGTCAATTTCCAAAGCAAACTAATTCAGTTTGGGTATAGCACATTCTCAAATACATCACTTGTAAGCTTCCTACTTATATTTTAATGTAATCACTTAGAAACATGAATATTTGAGTGACTTAAGATAGTCATTCTCAGCAATCTTCTAAATATTTCAGGTAATTTAACATCTGTATAACTTGGAGAAATGTGGGCTTAAAAATAATACAGTTCAGTGGATTTATGTTGGAATGAACATCCATAATCATTAACAAATCTGCAAAAGGCTCTGTATCTGATCTTACCCCGTTCAACATTCCTATCACGGACAAGATGAAGACCCAGAAATTATATTGAAACATCAGAAAAAACCTTCAGAAAATCACCAATTTCTTTTTCATCTCTCCTGTTCAGCAAAGTAGAACCCGCAGCTGGCTATCTGTCATATTGAGACAAGGGAGAAGTATAAAAAGCAAGCAGGGCTTTCCAAAACAACTCGAGGAAAAACTCCCATGAAAATGTCCTAATCATATGGACCAAAGGAGGAAGTAACCCATCCAGGACACAAACTAGGGAGCAGAGTAAACCAGAGTGACTCCCATCACCTACCAACCAATGAACAATACACATGTGGAGATTCTGATCACATTACAAGAAATTAATACCCAGGGATATTTAAACTTTAAAAGTCATTTTTGAAATAAAGTAATTCCAGTATAAACAGAAAAGTGATTTTCTCATTAACACTGGTGACCTCTGACCAAGTAAAATTATGATCAAAACATTTTAAGGTAAGTTTTCTTTATAAATAAAAACTATACTTACCACAATCCATTCAGCAATGTTTTCATAGAGTTCTGGACTAAAAATTGCTTTCTTAAGCCTAGCTAAAGGACCATCAGCATCTACTAATCTGCACCGCATGAAAACATCACAGTAGCCTCTAAAATCATTGCAAGGGGATCCAGGTTGCAGAGTGATGGTTTGACCCATAAAATGCTTGCTCCACTGTACAGACCCTGTACTGGCACAAGTTGATAGGTCCACTGCAAAAGAAGTGCCAAATATAAGTTGAAGATCAGATTTCCTAGTGGGCTTGTTGGGGAAAAAGGGAGGAAAGGAAGAAACTGCCTAAAATCATTATCATGACACGTTACATAGACTTTCATTAGTTAGGCTAGATAAAACCACTGGTAATTCACCTTAAATGTTACAATGTAAGTAAACAACCAGCAACTCTTCTCTTAATGCCTACAATGGCTTTAAAATCTTCTAACAGTGTTTATATTAAATATAGCCATAAAGCTAGCAGGTTTTTGTCTAGTTTACCATTTTAAAAATACTGTAGGGATCTAATACTAGAAACACAATGCTATACTACATTTAAAGTTTTTCTCAAGAGGATCAGTTTAGCTGAAAATTATCTGTGCAAAGTGTATGTCAAAGTTTAACACTTGAAATATAGAAGAAAATAAGGTTTTGAAACAAATTTTATACTCTTCTAGTATTTTTAAAAGCCTTACTCTTCTTCATACAGCAGACATGGCACAATTCCTTATCATCTTTGCTATCAGAACTGGCACAGGTACACTCCTCCAAGCCATATTTCTCACAGATAGAACCTGCACATTGCTGAAAGAAAAAACAGAAGATCAATTATTTAATCTCTATATAGTGAAGCCTACTATCCACAATAATATGCAGATATAAGCCTCCAATGCTAAAATAATTAAGTAGAAATACAAGCTGTGGGGGAGGGGTGGAAGCATAGATTAGTATCAGAAATTAATATAAACACATTTGAAAAAGAGTAAGTGCAAATAACACAGTACATCTTTTACAGAAATGGCAACTTAAAAAAAATCTTTACAAAGCTAAAACAGAAAAAGAGAGTAGATGAGTATCAATTTTATGTTAGTTATTATGGCTCTTTTATAAGAAGAGAAAAATGAAATTTCCCTCATGTAGAAGAAAATGATCATTTAGCCAAGAAAGCTTCAAAGGCTTCACATTCTTTAATTTAGGCTATTAAAAAGATATTAATTTATAAAACTTAAAAGCAGTACAAAATCACAAGACTAGTTATATAACTATTTTTCTCTAGAGAATATCGAACACACTCAGTGGAAAGATGAAAGTCAAGTCAGTAACTAACAGAATGCCACCAGCCATATAATACATCATGGCTTTGTGGGGAAATAGGAATGTTACTGAAACAGGGATCGAGATTAATTTTTTTTTAATTGTTTTTTTTTTTATCTTCACCCGAGGACATTTTTTTTGCATTTATCTTCAGATACAGTGAGAGGAAGAGAGGGAGGAAGAGAGAGAGAGAGACATAGATGTGAGAGACACGTCGACTGGCTGCCACCCACATGACCTCAACCAGGGTGGGGACAAATGAGGTACATGCCCATACCCTTAGCAGGAACTGAAGCCAGGACTTTCTGGTCCACGGGCCGACGCTCTAACCGCTGAGCCAAACCAGCCAGGGCGAGATTAATTACTTTAAATATGCAGCTTTAAGCATTAACAACTATTCTGAAAAAGTAGGTTTTATAAAACTAAATTAAAAGTATATAAATCAAATGCTTACCCCATTAATGCATACTTGTGTATGTCTATTACAGTCTGTAAAGTTTGGTTTAGGGTCAGATGCTGGGCAGAGAGCTGTAATGCCATTACATATTCCTTCTTTTGCACAGTCTGAATCATCCCGACACTTTTCAGTTTTTGCCTTGAATGTACACTGTGCTGTACAACAGGGACCTTGACTTGGACTAGAAGAAACATTAAATGATTAAAGAAAATCACTAGGATATTTCTTATATATACAGATGTGGTCTTAATTTTTAAATCATAAATATTGTCCTTTAAATTGTATGTTACTGACATACAATTTCAAATATTGGGATAAGAGGCTACTAAATTTAAACATTCTAGTAAGTGTAGAAAAGAAATTGTCTTATTTTTATAAGCAAGGCATTCTTAGTCTATTTGTTGTAAGTAAAAGGCTATAATAGAAAATGGATTTAGTGTTAGGCAAGTTATATCACTGTTTTTCATAGTTACATCATTCATTAATCAATTTATCAATTTGCTCATATTTATATGCTAAAATCAAACTAGGATAAACAGACCAGTCATTTAAAAAGAATCACACAAATAATATTCTATTGCTTATATCAATTACTACCCAAAGTAATTTGACAGGTGAAATAATTATATGATACTAAGTCATAAGAGTGTATAAAATCCATATTACTTAAATATTTAAAATTGAGATTCTAAAAATATGAACTATAGTCACACTTTTAAAGATAAGAACTAAATAACATGTATTTCATTGAGCATCCTTTGCATGTCCTTTTTTAACACCCACCACACAAATTACAATTACAAGCAGATCAATCTGCTAACAACAGTGTACTAATCAATGCTACAGAGTAGAAATAAATAAAATATATTGTAGAAAGAAACAAAACAACAAATAAAGTTCAAGTTTCAAAACCATATGCATCTCTTAATCTGTTTTAAATTTGTCATAAATGCCTTTAGGTGACTTTATAGGAACATAAACATAACTGGAATTAGCAAGGCACCTGCACTGTTTTCCAGGCCTTAGCTTGCATTTTCTCCCCTCTGGCTGGTTTGCATCATAGCAGCACTCATCTTTACACTGGTCGCTATAGCCACAATCACATTCTTCACCTTGCTCTACCATTCCATTTCCACAAATAGGTTGGCCAGACTCTGAGGAAAATAAACAAGACAAAGTAAGCAGTACATGTACACATTAATTTGATTTTGGAAATTAGGAGACCTAATTCTAACACTGGCTCAGTCACTAACTGGCAATGTGGCCTGGGCAATTCGCTTCCCCTGTTTTGGGCCTCAGTTTCCTCATCTATATAGTAAGGGGAATTGACCTAATTGGTCTCCTCTCAGGTCCCTTCTAAAAGTGGTAACATTCTATTTAGGCCATATCACACTGAGCTTTACTGAACAATGACAGCACTATTTATATTGTACAAATACAAATTAAGTTAGTGGTTTATGAACCAAAAAAAATTAAACAACTTTTTTAGAGAGAAAATTTCACATCTACATAGCAGTAGTAATAAAATAAGTACAATGAACTCCTATTTACCACTCAGCTTTAACAACTATCAAAAATACATTACGAACAACTCCACCTAACATATTCATGTTTTGTAAATATTCCAGGATGAATCTTAGAGATAAGTTTTCTCTTTTTTAAATCTAATCATAATACCATTATCGCATCTGACAAAATTAATCATATGCTTAATAGCATCCGACTGCCAATCCTTGTTCAGTTTTCAACTGTCTCTCTATAATTGGTTTATCTGAACCAAGTTCTGCAAAAGGTTCCTCCAAACCTTCTCCTTATGGTTGACATGTGTCTTAGGTTATTTAAATATATAACAGATTCACTCATTTTATTTTTACATGCTTTATTATCCTGTGAAATTTCCCACATTCTAATTGGCTGATTGTATCTTAGTCCATAGGTAATTATTTTTAAATTTACATTAGTTTTGCTCCTCAACTAGACCAAGCTCCTTAAGGGAAGATTGGGTCAAATATTTTGGTTCATTAAAGTCAGACTGCCTGATCTAAGCATAGTGAATAATTTTAGAGAAAATGTTAGGCTCTCTTTTAAAGTTATTTGATTTTGTCAGTCAGGTTTAAAATTAGAACAAGAATGTTACCCTTTGTAAGATCATAAAAATCACAAAACTTCAGTATCTGTAGAAAAATGATATTAATCAAATGTCTTCGTTTTACAGAAAATAAAACCTGTAGGAAAATGATATTAATCAAATGTCTTCGTTTTACAGAAAATAAAACTAACTTCTAGAGAGTTTGTGACTTGCAGGAAACCATATACCCCAGTATGGGCAAAAGACTAAACCCAAACCTCCCAGACCTAAAATCTGGTGTTCTTTTCTTTCTATACTAAATCAATGTGGAAAACAATTGTAGTACAGTTTTCAAATGGAGACTGAATAAGTAGAAGGGACTACATCTCAAATGCAGAAACTCAAAACAGAGATGGCTGAATCAAAAAGATTTTAGGAAGCCTAACTTTATATTTAGAAAGTTCGTTGTTATCTTTAACCACATAAAATACTAAAGCCCTATCCCTCTTCCCCTTTATACCTTTGCTTTTATTATATAAAACTAGATGCATGCCCTGGCCAGTTTGGCTCAGTGGTTGAGCATCGGCCTGTGGACCAGAGAGTCTCGGGTTCGGTTCCCGCTAGGGGCATGTACCACAAAAAAAACAAAAACAAAACCTAGATGCATGCACTGCACATATAAAATAAGCAAAAAATAACAATTTTTCTAAAGTCTAGTAATAATCACTTTCTAATCCATGTGACATGGAATTAAAGAGAAAGGGAGAATGATAAAGTCAGAAAACCTTTGATGCAATACTTTCTGCACATTAATTTACATCTCATATAGAAATATTACTTTAATCGGCGAATTGCTAACAGTTTAAACACAGAAAAGGAGCTTACATGCAAAAATTATAATAGGTACATATTTTGTTTTAAGAAACTAGTTTCTTTCCCATGATACTTACAAAGCAATATGCTCATTTTTTAAACCTCAACTTCAACCAGAAAGTGTATTGTGAAAACCCAGTTTACAAATGAAGAATTTATGCAGCACATTTAGAAGCTTTAGTCCTGGCCGGTTTGGCTCAGTGGTTAAAGCGTTGGCCTGTGGTCCAGAGAGAAGCTTTAGAAAAACTACACTGATAACAACAATAACAAAAATGACATCAGTGTAATTTTAATCTACCCTAAAAAAACCAAAAAGATGGCTTCAAAAAGAAAGCCAATCAATAAAAGTAAAAATTTATAATTTGAACCTTATCAACATTTAACTTTCTCCAGGAGAGACTGTGAAAAAGATAAAAAGACAAGCTACAAACTGGAAGAAAATATTTGCAGATCAGTATCTGACAAATGACTATTCTAGACTGTATAAAGAACTCTCAAAACTCAGCAGAAAAAAATACAATTAGAAATGGCCAAGAAATATGGACATTTCACCAAATACACACATGAAAAGATGTTCAACATCATTCATTAGTCATCAGAAAAATATAAATTAAAATCACAATGAGATATCACTATATATCTACTAGAAAAGATAAAATAAAAATACTAGATCACTTATACACTGCTGGTGATAATGTAAAATAGTGCAACCACTTCCCTAACCTGGAACTCACTAGCTTAGTTGGTTAAAATATCATCCCAATACGCTAAGGTTGCAGGTTCAGTCCCCAGTCAGGGTACACACAAGAATCAACCAGTGAATACATAAATAAGTGGAAAAATAAACCAACGTCTATCTGTCTCTCTCTCCCTTCCTCTCTCTCTAAAAATCAATCAATAAAAATTTTTTTAAAGAATAAAATAGTAGCCCTGGCCAGTTTGGCTCAGCAGTGAGAGCATTGGCCTGTGGTCCAGAGAGACCCGGGTTCGGTTCCCACTAGGGGCATGTACTTTGGTTGCAGTTTGTCCCCAGCCCTGGGTGGGTCATGCGGGTGGCGGCCACTCAATGTGTCCCTTTCACGTTGATGTGTCCCTTTCACGTCAATGTTTCTCTCTCTCTCTCTTCCTCTCTTTCCCTCCCGCTCTGTCTGAATAAAGAACAGAAAAATGTTCTTGGGTGAGGATTAAAAAAAATAAAAGAATAAAATAGTACAAACAAACACTCTAGAAAACAGTTTGGCAGTTAAATAGAAACAAATAATTACTAAATAATCCACCAGTTGGATTTGAGGGTATTTATTCCAGATAAATAAAAACTTACATTCACATAAAAAACATATATAAGCCCTGGCCAGTTTTGCTCAGCGGTTAGAGCATCAGCCAATGACTTGCGGGTTTGATTCCGGTCCGAGGCACATACCTCGGTTGCGGTTCGCACCGACCCTGGTCGTCATATGGGAGGTGACCAGTCGATGTGTCTATCACATCGATGTTTCTCTCTCTCCCTCCCACTCTATCTGAAAATAGATGGAAAAATATCCTCGAGAGAGGATTAAAAAAAAACAAAACCTGTATATGAATGTTTCTAGTTGCTTTATTCGTAACAGTCAAAAGTGAAAATAGCCCAGATGTCCTTTAACAAGTGGATGGTTAAACAAACCATGCTACAAAGATACCATGGAATATTACTCAGCAACAAAAAGGAACAAACTATTGATACAGGCAACAATTTGGATGAATCTCCAGAGAACTATGCTGGATAAAAGAGCCAATACCAAAAGGTTATATATGTTATATAATTTCAATTACATAACATTTCGGAAGTGATAAAAATCTTAGAAACAGAATGGTTTATTGGGGAAAGTGAGGGGAGAGCAGGAGGAAGGTGAGTGTGGTTATTAAAGGGAACGCTGAGGTTTCCTTGTTGTAACAATTGTTCTGTATCTTGACTGTGGTGGTAGATTCTTATACCTACCTACATATGTTATAAAACTGTATAGAACCAAACACATACACACACAGACAGAAATGAGAACAAGAAAAATGAGAAATCTGAATAAGATCTGTAGATTGCATCAATGTTAATATCCTGGTTGTGATACTCTAGTATACAATTTTGTAAGATGTTACCACTTCTTACAAAATTGTATACTAGAGCCCTGGCCGGTTTGGCTCAACAGTTAGAGCGTTGGCCTGCGGTCTGGAGATACCCGGGTTCGGTTCCCGCTAAGGACACATACCTCGGTCGCAGTTTGTCCCGGACCTGGTTGGGTCGGGTGGGTGGCGGCCACTCGATGTGTCCCTTTCACGTCAATGTTTCTCTCTCTCTCTCCCTCCCTCCCACTCTATCTGAACAAAATATTGAAAAATGTCCTCCGGTGAGGATAAGAAAAAAAAATTGTATACTAGAGGGTGAGGGGTACATGGAATCTGTTATTTCTTATAACTGCATGTAAACCTAAACTAAAAAATTATAGTTAAAAACAGTAGGCCACAAGGTTATGTCAATTATATCTCAATCTTTTTTTTTAATCCAGCTTAAAAAAAAAAAAAAAAAAAAGCCATGTTTATCTAGAAATCCTTCTCAGTTCTTTCTCATTTGCTGCCATATGGTTAAATCCATCTCTGAGTGTTCTTTATGTGCAAAGTGAGCAGCCTCAATTTTGCCCTCAAGAAACTTACAGTTTTGTGAAATAGAACTACATCCAAAAAAACCATAATACAAGGCAGATTACTTAGAATATTGAATGCCACAAGAGATGCTAACAGATGAATGGATAAACATGTCATATCTATACAATGGAATGTTGTTCAGCCATTAGAAAGTACCACAATGAGCCCTGGCCAGTTTGGCTCAGAGGTTAGAGTGTCTGCCCGTGGATCAATGAGTTGTGGGCTGGATTCCGGTCAAGAGCACATACCACAGTTGCTGTTCTTTTCCCGGCCCTGGTCGGGTCATATGGGAGGCAACCAATTGATGTGTCTCTCTCACATCAATGTTTGTTTCTCTCTCTCCCTCTCTCCCTCCCTCCTACTCTATCTGAAGATAAATAGAAAAATATCCCCAGGTGAGGATTTAAAAATAAAAAAGTACGACTCTCTGATACATGCTACAACTTAGATGAATACTAAAAATATTATGCTAAGTGAAATAAGCCAGAATCACACAAGTACAGATACTGTATGATCCCACTTATATGAGGTACCTAGAATAGGCAAATTCATAGAGGCAGAAAATAGATGAGAGGTCACCAGGGGATAGGGAAAGAGGGAACAGAAGTCATTGTTTAATGATTACAGGATTTCTATTTGGAGTGATGAAAATGTTTGGACATGGATAGTGGTGATGGTTGTACAACACTGTGACTGTACCTAATGCCACTGAATTATACACTTAAAATTAGTTTGAATATTTTATGTTATATATATTTAACTACAATAAGAAAAAAATTTAGAGCATTTTAATTCATATTAGCCCAAATCTGAAAAGCCTGGGTGTTAACAAGGAAAAGAGTGGATGAGCAAACTGCAATACTATGCAATACTACTCAGCAATAACATACAATACTAATGATAAATCTCAAAATATCATGCTAAGTGAAAGCAGAAGAGTACAAACTATATGATTCCATTTATGTGAAGTAAAACGAGCAAAATTTATCAATGGGAAAATCAATCAGAATAGTGGTGACGTGTGTGTGTGTGTGTCGGGAGCACAGGCTGATTGGGAAGGCAAATGAAATAACTTTCTGGGGTGATAGAAATGTTCTGTATCTTGACAGGTTACACAGGTAAATGCATTTGTCAAAGCTCAGCAAATTGTGGGCTTAGGATTTGTGTATTTTACTTATGTAAGAAATAAAAGATTCACAAACAATACTGAACTCTAATGATATGTATGCTGAACTATTTAGGGGTGAAATATAATGACATAATACACTTTAAATTACAACAAAAAATATGGACTGAAGGATGGATTGCTAAATGTGATAAAGCAAATACAACAAAGTGTTAATCATAAAATATAGGTGGTGGGTACATAGGTGTTTACTATATAATTCTTTCAAGTTTGAAAGTATTCATAATAAAATGTTTGGAAACTATACATACCAACAAAACAGTTGTTTCTCTTCTTCTCCAGAACTTGGCTTATATTTCTAATGCTACAGAGTGAAAATTTATTATTGTTGAGTTTGTCCCCAGATGTTGCTCTTGCATACATGATGTAATTGCCATTTTCTTTTTGTCCCAAATTCTTAGATTCTCCTGGAGTGCACTCTGTTCCAGAATCATGCTGTCAAACAGAATATAGAGTTACATAAACAGGGAAGTCAAAGAAGGTTTCCAGGTCATCTGATTAAATGTCATTTTCTCATCAGAAGAACAATGGAAGCTTGTTGACTTTCCTTTAGAAAAGATCTTACAATTGTTTTAGACTGTGAGATGGAAAACAATCTGCTCTTTTAAGGCTGTCTTAGAAAAGAAGGAAAAAAATCAGTGAAACTCTAACCATAACTTATAGCTTTGTAAGTAGGGAGTAGAATGGAGGACAAACTATCATAAAAGTCTATTAAAAATAAGTTCACCTACTTTTAAAACTACTAATAAGAATATAAACTACTTAAAAACTACTAAATATTCATTAAAATACATGTTAAAATAAGTTATGGCCAATACAGAGATGACAGAGGTGAAGGAAAGACAGGAAACAAAAGAGAATGGTATGGGGTTAAATACTACAGGATGGGCATCTAAGAGAGTTGAAGATTTGCTAATTCTTACATAAGAAAGATAGGTAAATGCCGAATAGGGCTAAAAATACAACAATCTGCTTTAAAATAAAAATTAAGACAAATCAGGAGGTAAAACCAAAACACTGCTTTGTAGAATAAAACAGGAGACATACATGTCTATGTACAGAAACAGTTTATGGTGTTGGTAACTACTACTAAAGTATCAGATACATACAGGAAAGTACCAAACCACAGCTCCATGGATTTTCTCAAAGTAAATATACTTAACAAGACCAGCACTGAGATCAGGAAAGAGAACACTACCAGATCTCCCCAAACCCCCGGGGGGAGGGGGGGATATGCATTCAAAAATAAAACAACCGAACCTTACCATGCTCCACAAACAATTCAAAACTTGTCAGTAAGAGTGAAAAACAATGGGTTCTAGAATAATAGTTGTATTTAATTAAATTGTTTTGAATACCCTACCCTCCAGAAAGAAAGGGACTGCCCATGGGCATTTTGTTTCTTCCCAGAGTCCATCTAAATCCTCCCTAATCTGAAGCAACTATTAAAGCAACTACTTTCATCTTTATTCTTCCTGATAGCTATTGCCTTTCTCCTGAAACTAGGTTCAGCATTTAACGACTCTTTACTATTCACCAATATTATCTTACTTTATGTTTTCATCCTATAGAACTCAGTCTGGTTTCTGATAATGTATGGCACTAGAATTATTCTCAGCATTAGAATTTTAGAAAGAGAAAGAGAAAAAAAATCCCAATACTGTTTAACTCTTGATGTCATCACAGAATATTTTACCACCTTTCAATTCAATAACTATGAAATGTGTGTTCAATATTATACATGAAAAAAACAAAATATATGAAAATATAAAGATGAATTAAGCACCATCCTGAGCCCTCAAAGGACTTACATTCTATTTTAAAGGGCTAGCAAATTTTGATATCCTTTCCTAGTCTGACTCCCTGCCCCATAAATCCATTACAGATATCACTAATCAATTATTATTTTACTAGCCGAAAGAAGATTATAATTGGTCATTAATTGCCATGGAAGGAAGAATGCATTATAAGCAAGTATGCCAGTTATTTGTCATCCTCAGAAAAGCAACACATAAAACAAACATAATATAAAGGCCATTTTGACTGTACCCCCAAAAATGCTTTGAGAGTTCAAATAAAGAGAATAGTTTCACAAGGAAACGATAATCTCAGTTTGATAAGAAAACGGAAAAGCTTTTTCCTGACTATAAAAACAACATATATTCCTTTAGAAATTTTAGAAAATAAAAACTGGATAAAGAAAAATGAGATTATAATCCACCAACCACAACTACTATTAATATTTTGTTCTATTTCCTACCTGATTTGTACCTGGTAATATTATTTTAATACAAACTTTTGGCTATACTCTGTGTACAGTGATATAAACGGATTCTTTCAGTTTAACATAGAGCAAGCTTTCAAACTTTATTTTTAAACGATGGTAGAGCATTCCATGATACTTTCCTAGTGTGGGGGAATATAGGCTGTTTAACAGTTGGATCTCCAGAGGTAGAGTTACTCAGTAAAAAGGTCAAACATTTTAAGGGTCTTGATATACACTGTCAAACTGCCTGACAAAAGGGCCATATTAATTTACATTATGTAACAGCATGGATCACGATTTCAACAGGCAAAGATGGGAAGGAATTGGTTTCCTGACAGAAGAAACATTTTAAAGAACTATAAATTACTTAATTTGACAAGAGAGAGGAGATAACATTGAAAAAATACTTGGACCCAAATTATGGAAAACTCTAAATGCTAAGATAAGGAAATTTTTATCAGCAGGTACTAGAAGTAAACTGTAAACAGAAGTGATTTGATCAGAATAATCAGAACTATAACTAGACAAAGATTAATCTGGTAAGAGTGGGCACATATTAGAATTTTCATATTGAGAGACAATTTGTCTCTCACACAATAAAGTTTATAAAGTGGTTAGCAATAGTTGTGCAATAATATTTGGAACAGGATAAATAAATATAAGGGATAGTGTGAACCACTCAGAGAGAAAGTAACTGACATAGAATACAGATTTATAACAGGAGAGATAAAGACAGATTTCAGATAATGATGTCAAGGAAGGCAGGAGTTTATTGGTTCTGGCTGATCTTACTATTAAATTACTTAAATATTTACTAAGTATCTACTATGTATATGAATGGCAGCATGAACGACACGTACAAAGGAATGGGGGTGTTTAAGCATGGTAGAACCATTAAAACTAGTCTGGTATTGAGACAAGGTATGTGGTGAAAGGGATGTAACCGATAGGGCTACAAGGATCAACCTTCAACAGATTTATGGCTTAGAACCAACTGAAGGCCAGGTCATCCAACATAGTGACTAATTTCACCTTGCAGTGACCCCTAGTCTCACTGCTCATTCACTGTAATTCGTTAGCATACTAAACAACTCCCCCAACACACACACACACACACACACACACACACACACACACGAAAAATGAAAAGCTCATATAAAGACACAAAATGACCGACAGTGTTCTTCCAAGTAGTCTCCACCCCTTTCCCTGAAAAATCCTGAATATTCTTCCCTCTTATTGAATGCCCTTCGATTAAATGAGCCTCAATAAAAGAAGTAAATCCCACTAGGGAGTGGCTGCTCTGTCTGTGGAGTAGCCAATCTGACTCACTGTTTCACTAATAAACTCTCTTTCACTTTAAATTCTATGCTAGCTCTTATGTGAGTTCTTTCCTGCTCAAAGCCAAGAATCCCACAGTGGATCACAGATCTTCAGACCCCAGACCCCTGACCCCTGGAATGCCTGCATCAGTAAGATAGGAAAAGATGGCAAGAGAGACAAAATGTGTCAACCAATTTATCCATTAGACGGTAAGTAATGTAACATAATGTACTAAAAACACCTCTCCAGCAACTGTGTAGGGTATGGATTAGACAGGAAGTGAAAAGAGAATAGACTAGATTCCCTACTCCAAGTGTGTTCCACAGACCAGCAGCAACAGCAGCATAAGGGAGTTTCTTAGAAATGTGGAAACACATGCCCCACCAAAGACTCACTGAACCAAAATCTGTATTTCAAGATCCTCAATTACTTATAAGCACATTAAGCTTTGAGAGGATGTAAACTAAAGGAGTGAAGAGCAGTTACAAGGGTGCTAAAATTCCTTTGGTGAGGGTTGGAATCAAAGGAACTGGAAGAGAAGAGAGGACACTTAACTGTCTTGGGAAACACAAATTAACCATGAACAACAGTTCTCTGTTCATCTCTAAAACTTAAATTACTCTTTTAAGAACAGATCACAAGCCCTGGCCGGTTTGGCTCAGCGGTTGGAGCGTCGGCCTGCGGTACAGAGAGACGCGGGTTCGGTTCCCGCTGAGGGCATGTATCTCGGATGCAGTTTGTCCCCGACCCTGGTTGGTCATGCGGGTGGCAGCCACTCGATGTGTCCCTTCACATCGATGTTTCTCTCTCTCTCTACCTCTCTCTCCCTCCCGCTCTATCTGAACAAAGAATGGAGAAGTGTCCTCGGGTGAGGATTAAAAAAAAAACAAAAAAACGAACAGATCACAAAAGCAGTCAAGAGGTAGAGAGATTAAATACATTTTAAAGCCCTGGCTGGTCTGGCTCTGTGGTTAGAGTGTTGGTCTGCGGTCTGTGGGTTCGGTTCCAACAAAGGGCACATACCTCGGTTGCAATTTGTCCCCAGCCCTGGTTGGGTCATGTGGGTGGCAACCACTCGATGTGTCCTTTTCACGTCGATCTTTCTCTCTCTCCCCCCACCCCCATTCTATCTGAACAAAATATCAAAAAAAAAAAAAAAAAGTCCTCTGCTGAGGATTAAAAAAAAACACAAACATTTAAAATACTTTCTCCAAAAATATTGATAATTATCTATCAATTTCTGATTGGGACTTAGAAGAGGAAAGACTTGCAACTTAGGGAGATGGCACTTATATTTTACAAACTGAAGAAAATTACAGAAGTACATTTGAGGATTTTAAACTGTAGTATATATTTTTCTAGACTCATAAAAATTTCAATTTTTACAAGTGATAAGGTACAAGTAAAATAAAGCTACAAATAGTTTTTAAATGAAAATTTCCCAAACTTGTTACTTTTACAAGCCCTAACAAAATCACAAAGGATATCTTTCAGTATTTTACATTTCTGTGTGTATTAATCTTTAGGTCACTTGAAAATCAATATAATGGACTGAGTATTAAATGATACCAAAGAATTGTTAATTTTGTCAGGTATCATAATCACACTGTGGTTATATAAGAAATATCTACTTTTTTAAAAAGAAATGTTATACTAAAATATTTAAGAATGAATGAATTTGCTTCAAATACCTTACAAAGAAAAAGGAAGAAATGTAGCAAAATTTTGATATTTGTTGAATCTGAATGCAAGCCACAACCTATTTTAAAGCATCCTAAGCTAAAAATAGTTCTTCCATGTATAAAGGACTTTAAAATAACAGAAATATTACCCCAAAGCCTAGAATATTTACTAACTGGCCCTATACAGAAAAAGTCTGCTGACCCCTGTTCTGAACATGATAGTATGCTGTACTATATAGCTCTACTTTTATGTATGTTAAAAATTTTTCATACTAGCCCTGGCTGGTTTGGCTCAGCGGTTAGAGCATCAGCCTGCGGTCCCGAGAGACCCCGGTTCAGTTCCCGCTAAGGGCACGTACCTTGGTTGCAGTTTGTCCCCGGCCCTGGTTGGGTCGTGCGGGTGGCAGCCACTCGATGTGTCCCTTTCACGTCGATGTTTCTCTCTCTCTCTCTCTCCCTCCTACTCTATCTGAACAAAAAATGTCCTCGGGTGAGGATTAAAAAAAAAAAAAATTTCATACTAAAGGATTTTAAAATATCAATCTCATTCCACAGTAGAGAAAGACAAATCTAGTAAGCCCCAATAATGTTTAAAGGAAATCAAGCAAAACCACCTTTCCACAATTTACTAACATTCAAAATGTACTTTAATAAAAAGTGATTCTCATTTAATGACTATTTTAATTAATCACATATCAAGCACTGTTCTGGGGTTGGGAGACATAGAAGTGAATGAAACAGACAAAATCCCTTGCCTTCATAAAATTCTGGCATTGTTAGGTTGACTTTTCTTTTTTTAATCACAAATATTCTATTTTCCTCCCTTTCCATATGGTCAAGTACATGTCTGTGTTCTGACATATAAAATCTAAACATTCATACATAGTTGTTTTCATTGTAATCATACCAAAAAAATCACTGACATAAAAGGTAGGTTAATAATTTTTATTATTTTATTTTAAATCTGGTAAGTAGGCAATACTTACTGGAGATCCAAAGTTATGTCCAACTTCATGAGCAAAAGTAATATGAGAGACTTTGGGGGGTACATGAGACCCATAGTTCTGAACAGTAATAATTCCAGTGTTTAAGGACTTCTTCTTACCATCTGAATAGAGCTTACTTTTTTCACATATTCCTCCAGAGCTTCCTAATTCAGAGCAAAAGATGGCTAAATTAGTATGTTTCACATATACAAAAAATTAACTTTCTAATACGTGCTGTATTAAAGGAAGACATTTTATATTTTGAGTCCAAAATACAATTAGTTCCCATATATATCAAATACTCAAAAGTTTCGTTGGTCCAAGATTAGGAGGTCATTTCAAATAAAAGTTTTAATGAAGAAACTCCCAGGATTGAGTACAAAGCCTTTATAAAATATTCCTCTTCAAAATCAAAATGTCCCCAAAATTTTACTCCCATTAATTTAGCAAAACAAATATTTAAGTTTCTGTTAAATCTGAATATATCAGAATTTACACTGAGTTCAGCCTATACCTTTCATCTTTTAAAGGGAAAACCAAGTAAATGTAAGTTGAGTAAAATATTCTCAAGTAAACTCTGAGAAAGTCACTTCTATAAATAAAAGCAGTGATGCACAGGAGTATGTATGTGATTCACTATCCTGAGAGGCAATATACTATTTATTTATTTTTTTGTACATACCCCTAGTGGGAACCAAACCTGGGAATCTCTGGTCCTCAGGTGAACGCTCCAACCGCTGAGCCAAACTGGCCAGGGCACAATTTATTTTTTAAAAGAAAAGAATTAGGGGTTGCCAGGGAATAGGAGAGTGAGGGTGGGAGAAATAGGGAGAGATTGGTAAAAGGTACAAACTTTCAGTTATAAGATGAATAAGGTTTCACAATGTATACGAATAGCAAATCATTGCAATGCATACTTCAAATATCTTACAATTTTATTTGTCAATACCTCAATAAAACTGGAAGAAAAAAAAATTATGCCACATAGGTAGAAAAAAAAAAACAAGGGAAGAGGGAAGGAAGGAGACGGGGTGAAGGAAGAAAGGTACAGCAAATGGTAACTATCAGCTATCCATTGTATTACTCTCGCAACTTTTTGGCATGTTTGAAGTTTTTCTTTTTTTTTTTAATCCTCACCCGAGGACATTTTTCCATTTTTTGTTCAGATAGAGTGGGAGGGAGAGAGAGGAAGAAAGAGAGAGAGAGAGGAAGAGAGAGAGGGGGAGAGGGGGAAAGAGAGAGAGAGAGAGAGAGAGAGAGAGAGAGGGAGAGAGAAACGCTGACGTGAAAGAGACTCACTGAGTGGCTGCCACCCGCACGACCAACCAGGGCCGGAGACAAACTGCAACCGAGGTATGCACCCTTAGCAGAAACTGAACCCAGGTCTCTTTGGACCATAGCCCGACGCTGAGCCAAACCGGCTAGGGCATGTTTGAAGTTTGTCAAAATAAATTCGAAAAATTGAATTATGATTTTCCCATGTGTCTTGAGAATACTTCCAAATTTTAAAAGGAAACCCATATTTTTATTTATACAGATTAAATCAGTGTATGGTAATAGTTCCTGAACTTCAGAGTTTAATACCAAAATTAAAATGCTTTCACATCTAAAGGCAGTTAACGTAAGAAATTAGAAAAAGAACCAACATGAAAATTAGACAGTGGCTGGCCAATCCATGTCTTTATTTACATTGTACTAAGAAAACCATAGTTCTCTGAATAACTACTGAAGACTTTTAGTGAGGAGTTCTTTAGTTTATATTCACATGTAAAAGGTTTCTCTATTCGCCCGGCTGGTGTGGCTCAGTGGTTGAGCGTTGACCTGTGCACTAAGAGGTCACCGGTTCAATTCCTGGTCAGAGCACATACCCAGGTTGTATGCCAAATCCCCCGTGAGGGGCATACAGGAGGAGGTGGCCAACTGATATTCTCTCTCATCAATGTTTCTATTTCTCTCTCCCTCTCCCTTCCTCTCTCTAAAATCAATAAAGAAAAAAAAAAAAGGTTTCTCTATTTGATTTTGTGTTAAAATACAATAAAATGGATTAACATATTCTGATAAATTATCAAATTATTTTCATACATGTATGCAAAGTTATAACCAAGTCATTAAATCATTTTTAAAAACCCAATATTTATAATTCTTGATAAAGCATATAATAAAAAGCAACTAAAAATGGATCTGCAAGAATGGCATGATACAATTACCGTCTTCTTCCTTTTAAAAATCAGAAAGTAGCCCTGGCCGGTTTGGCTCAGCAGTTAGAGCATTGGCCCGCAGACCAGATTCCAGGGTTCGGTTCCTGCTAAGGGCACGTACCTTGGTTGCAGTTTGTCCCCAGCCCCAGCTGGGGTCATGTGGGAGGCAACCACTTGATGTGTCTCTCTCACATCGATGTTTCTCTTTCTCTACCTCCCTCTCTCCCTCCCGCTCTATCTGAAGATAAATGCAAAAAAAAAAAAAAAAAAATGTCCTTGGGTGAGGATAAAAATAAATAAAATTAGAAAGTATACAGCAACAAACATAAGTTTAAACTACCATTATGATACAATTTAGGAAGCTGAAATATAATGTACTTCACAGAAAATACACTGAAAGACTATGCCATGGGTAGATTTTAACCAGCAAAAGATTGAGAACCTTCATGATAGTCAAAACTTACTACCTTTTCTACACAGAAAATTAAATAAAAAGGAAACAGCTAATGATTTATGAATATTTAATGTATTTTCTTAAGGTACCTCTGCTTTGGAGATGAGTCCTAAAGACTATATCACTATTTCTAGAAAGTAGAAAAGACAGGAATAAGGACTCTGTATATAATAACAATGTTATACATATTTTAGTTGAACAAATAGTAAATCAATATCCTGCCTTAGCGAAGATTTGTCATATGCAAATTGGTCCAATGTAGTACTGTCAGACTTGAATTAAATATAGAAGACTCCACACTGCAAATTTATCAGTCAAAAAAAGAGTAAAGAACACATATTAAAAACTCTGATAATACACTTTTCTATATTTTTTAAATCTATCTAGTATAAAAGAAGTTCATACAAAAACTTGAGTGTACTTTTCTGAAATATAGCCTTTAATTCATATCTTATTTAACATCTTAAACAACTGCATTTGGTCTTAATGACTATTACTTATAGGAAAGGTTATTTGTTACAGGTTAATAGCATATGTTGGAATAACTCAATTATACAGAAAGAAATAAAATACTATATTCTAATTTTATAAGTTATGGTTTAATTTTTTAAAATACTGTAACTAGTTTTGATATGCTGAAAAATAAATTATTAATAATATATCATATATGCCTATAACTGAACCATAACTGAGGCGCAACAATTGCTTTATATTAAAAATTTAAGATTTTACTACGTATGTCATCATTGAAAAACACATTTATGATTGACAATGAGAAGGGTGCAATGTTTTAAATTCAAGTCAAAAGCAATTACTATAGATGGATGACTCAATGACCAACAAAATATAATCACACTTTTCTATCTACAGAATAGTCTGAGAGCTAAAGTCATAGACTATCAGTCCTAAACTTTAAAAGAGACCCCCCTTTTACCCCCCGAAAATTAGAAAAACTGCATTGGTAATATAATACCTTCACAGAGTCCAAAAATACAGTTTTGATGTCAGCAGGTCTAAATGCCTAAAACTTAATAGTAGTATGCTGACTAAACAACATTGATCTGAGCTGTAATTCTGAACCAGACAGTAGTACCACTCCCATACAGGTTAAGAAATATCTGTGGCCATTTCTTTGTATTTCATGTCTGGGGGACAGTACTCACATGTAATGAGTAGGGATCAGAGATGTTAAACATTCTACAAGAGGCAATCCAGACTGAACAAAATGCCAATATAAAGTGTTCTGTTGCAATATTCTAATGATGTAATTCTCCTAGCCTTGTAATTAGACTTTTACACAACAGGTTAAGAATTCAATAGGCTGTTGATTATCTTGAGAATCCATGTGAGGTACTGTATGCCCTCAAATCCTAACATGTAAAATTAAACTCAAGCTTCTAAAGTAAGAAAAACAAAAAAGACTATTTCTACCAAATGAAATGTGTCAAAAAATGTTCTTCAGGGGGACTTCCAGTTAAGACGGCAGCGTAGGTAAACGCGGTATGGTGTCCTCCCACAACGACATCAAAGTTACAACTAAACTACAGAACAACCATCATTCAAAACCGCCTGAAATCAAGCTGAATGGAAGTCCTACAACTACGGAATTAAAGCAGCAGCCACATCCAGACTGGTAGGAGGGGCAGAGGCAGACAGGCTGGTCCCACACCCATGTGTGGGGGATAAAAATCAGGATACCTGGGCAGGGAAGGTCCTCCCTGAGGACTGAGGGGTCCCCATCCCACACCAGGTACCTTGCTCAGGGTTCCAGTGCCAGGAAGAGAAGTCCCCATAACTTCTGGCTGGAAAAACCAGCGGGAACTGAGGCTCAGGGAAGCTGACGCAGCTGGAGCCCCAGGCAGCTCCTTAAAGGGCCCCAGCACAGACTTACCGGACTCACTCCCTCTAAGTTTGGAGGGGACGCAGCTCGAGGGGCACCAGAAACAAACAGGGAAGAACGGAGCTGTTTGGCACTGGAGCAAGGGCTGGAGAGGGGGCTTTCTCCGGGACAAACGTGCTGTCAGAGGCCTTTGTTCCTTTGGTGAGCCCTTCCCTGGGGCAGCAGACAGAAGCTATATCTGGGACTCCAGCAACCTGGCTCACACTAGTAGCCCCACCCTGGTGATTCCCTGAGGCCCCGCCCCACCCAATTTTCAGGCCCACCCAAGCTGTTGCCACTTGCTTAACCATAGGATTGGCCTGTCTTGGATCCGGCTTCAGGTTTTCCTAAATTCTTTTAAACAAGCAGCATCTGGTCTCAGATAGCCCCATAATGTTTGTTAAGTAATATATAGAAACAAACACAGGGAGGCAGCCAAAGTGAGGAGACAAACAGGTCCCAAATGAAAGAACAGAACAAAACCCAAAAAAAAGAACTAAGCGAAATGGAGATAAGCAACCAAACGGATGCTGAGTTCAAAATACTGCTTCTAAGGATGCTCAATGAACTTAGTGAGAACCTCAGTGAACTTAGTGAGGGCCTCAAGAACATAAAAAAGGACCAGTCAGAAATCATGGATGCACAGTCAGAAATGAAGGAGGCATTAACTGAAATAAAGAATAATTTACACAGATTCAATAGTAGAGTACGTAAATCCAAGAAGCAAACCATCGATTTGGAATATAAGGAAGCAAAAAGTGCCCAATCAGAACAGCAAAAAGAAAAAAGAATCCAAAAAAATGAGGAGAGTGTAAGGAGCCTCTGGGACAACTTCAAGCGTGCCAACATTTGCATCTTGGGTGTGCCAGAAGGAGAAGAGCGAGAACAAGAAATTGAAAACTTGTTTGAAAATAATGGCAGAAAACTTCCCTAACTTGGTGAAGGAAACAGACATACAAATACAGGAAGCACAGGGTCCCAAACAAGATGAACCCCAAGAGGCCCACACCAAGACACGTCATCATCAAAATGCAAACGGTTCAAGACAAAGAGAGAATCTTAAAAGCAGCAAGAGAAAGGCAGCTAGTTACCTACAAGGGAGTTCCCATAAGGCTGTCAGCTGATTTCTCAAAAGCAACTTTGCAGGCCAGAAGGGAGTGGCAAGAAATATTCAGTGATGAAAAGCAAGAACCTACAACCAAGATTACTCTATCCCACAAAGCTGTCATTTAGAATCGATGGCCATATAAAGAGTTTCCGAGACAAGAAAAAGCTAAAGGAGTTCATCACCACCAAACCATTATTATATGAAGTGTTGAAGGGTCTTTTTGAAGAAAAAGATAAAATATATGAACAAACCAAATGGCAATGAATACATATCTATCGACAATGAAATCTACAAACAAAATGAACAGGCAGAACAGAAACATTCTCATAGATACAGAGAACATTTTGTTGGCTGCCACATGGGAGGGGGATTGGGGGAATGGGTGAAAAAGGTGAAGGGATTAAGAAGTACAAATTCATTGCTAGACTGACAAACCTCAAAGGGAAAGGGGTTGGGGGGTGGGAAGAAATAAACCAAAAAACTTATATGCATAACCAATGAACACAGACAACAATGTGGGAAAAGGCCGGAGGGGGGAGGGATTTAGGAGGAGGGGGGGTCAATGGGGGAAAAATGAGGAACATATGTAATACATTCAACAATAAAGATTTTTAAAAAAGAAAAATGTTCTTCGCAAATGGTCAGAGAAATACTGAATGGTTCAGGATTAACTATGGAGAGGAATTATAGAGCTAGCATCATTCAGTAACCTGCCTGAAGTTTGACTACATTCATTAGGTTAACCGATAACATTAAGATAAATAATATACAAGCAGAATGCATCTTAATAACGCCCCCCAAACAATGGCCCCTCAAAAGAAGTGTTAGAAGAGTATAGCAAGTGAAGCAGAACAAAGGAATTATTTAACATGAAGAATTTACTTTGTTAAGGAACCAATGTTTCAGTCTCTAAATTAAATAAGAGGCTACCTGCTTGACACAGAATTGTACTTATATAAAGTTTAGAGTAGTATTTCCAGATTCATATTCAAGATTGACTTTGTTTTGGGAGACTACACTCCCTTTTTTGGGCTCTCTTCAAGGCCCAGTATAATTTTAATTTGGAGGTTCCAAGTCAGCCCAGTTCATTAGCTGTTTATACTTATTACAGAGTTGAGGCAAAAGGTACTGTTTTCCTCGTTAACAAAACCCAAGACAGCACTCAACTACAATATGAAGTTAAATACAAACAAATAAAAAGTAGTGTAAAAATGACTTGAAGACAAGAAATCTACTAGTCAAACTTTTCAACCTTCATTGTTTTCCCTGGCTTAACTAAGTAACTGAAGGGGAAATAGCTAATAATTTGAGTAATTGTTCTGTGAAAATTAACACAACAAAATCCTTTCCACTACCATATATTTGAATAGTGATATATTTACAGCGTTAAATGAAATTAAGCTAAATAATACAACAGAATCAAAATTAATTAGGCCAAATAAAAATGAAAAAAAGATTAAGAAACAGTAACAGATCACAAGTTGAACAGATCAGCTATGAAATGCTGTTTTTAAAAAACAAGAGAAAGCATTACTAAGATCTACAGGCAGAAACATGAAATTTCAAAGGAAGGGTAAAGATAGAACATATTAAGGTGAAAAATAAACAACGTGAAGCAATATGATTTACCTGAATTTATAGAAACAAAACCAGTAAGTAGGCAGTTTCACGGCTCCCCAACCAGTGCTCTTCCTATTATGCCATAACAGTTAACCAAAATTATATTAAATATTATAGAGTAGTACTATTTATAACTGCTCTCTCTTAAGAAGAAAATGGATTCCAACAATATAAAACTTCTACAAAGATGCAGGAAACATTTTAATTTATTAGAAATGTCTTAGAAAGAGATAGCTTAAATGTTACAGTATATGGTACCTCGTAAAATAACTACCAAATGCACTAACCCTAGAGTCTAAAGGTCCAGATTCTACATTCTGTGTGATACTGGGTTGGTCAGCCTCTGAACTCAAGTTTTCTCACCTTCTCCAAAGAAGACATATGAAAAGATGCTAGTCACTAATCATCAGAGAGATGCTAATTAAAACCACAATAAGATATCACCTCATACCTGCCTGAATGGCTACCACCAATAAATCAACAAACAAGAAGTGCTGGTGAGGATGTGGAGAAAAGGGAACCCTAGTGCATTGTTGGTGGGAATACAGGTTGATGCAGCCACTGTGGAAAACAGTCTGGAGTTTTCTCAAAAAAATCAAAATGAAACTGCCTTTTGACCCAGCAATCCCACTTCTAGAAATATATCTTAAGAATCCTGAAACACAGATCAGAAAGAATATATGCACCCCTGTGTTCATAGTAGTGTTATTTACAATAGCCAAGATCTGGAAATTGCCCAAGTGGCGATAGGTAGATAAGTGGATAAAAAAAAAGCTATGGAATACTACACAGCTGTAAAAAGGAAAGAACTCTTACCTTTTGTGACAGCGTGAATGGACCTGGTTATTATAATGCTAAGTGAGGTAAACCAGTCAGAGAAAGGAAATACCATATGATCTCACTTATATATGGAATCTAATGAACAAAATAAACTGACGAACAAAATAGAACCAGAGTCACGGATACATGGTACAGACTGACAGGTGTTAGAGGGGAGGTTGGTGGGGCAGACGGGATGAAAGAAGGTGAAGAGAATAGCCAAAGAATGGATATACATAACCCACCGACACAGACAACAATGCAGTTAGGGCCAGAGGGAGGGAGGGTGGGGTCTGGGTAGAGAGGGGCAAAAGTGGGGGGAAAATGAGGTACATATCTAATAATGTGAACAATAAAAATAAATTTTTTAAAAAAGAAGCTTTGAAAATTGTAAAAAGGATATTCATTGCTAACCTAAAAAACAGAGCAAGAGCCCTGGCAAGTGAGGCTCAGTTGACTGAGCGACCACCCATGTACCAAGTCCTTGGTTGGATTCCTCGTCAGGGAGCATGCCCAGGGTTTCGGGCTTGTTTCCCAGTAGGGGTTGTGTGGGAGGCAGCTGATAGATGTCTCTCATATTGATGTTTCTCTCTCTCTCTCTCTCCCTATCCCTTCCTCTCGCTCTAAAAAATCAATAAAAACATATTTAAAAAAATAAAAAATAGACTAAGAAATAGAAAGGCAAGGCAACAGAACAAAAGATGCTATAATATTAATAACAAATCATAGAATAAACTAATAAAAAAGGAATAGAAAAGCCTGTCTTAGCCTGGATAAAGCAGAAGTTGACTTTTTAAAAAGATAAAAATGATGCATCGGAAGAATTGTTGTATATATAGCTCAGAAAATGATAGACTAGTGATCAAACTATATATAGCAAAATTCATATTCAAAGAGTCGATGATTCTTTCCACTGATCTTTCAATTAATAAATTTGTATTTCTCTAAACTAGGCTATTGAACTTATTATACTGCAACTCACAGACGCTCACCCCCACTACAGTGGGAAGGGAATTATCCTATCCCAGCTTTCTCAATGACAGAAGCTTTCATGACTAAGGCAGAAACCCCAGCAGAGTGCTGGCCCAGGTGGTGAGGCCAGTGGAGTTGTGAGAACTGGGGCCTCCTGCCTACATCTTCATTTTTGTTAAAATAATGACTAAAGAAACCTGGCCAAGTGGCTCAGTTGGTTGGAGTGTTGTCTTATGACCAAAAAAGTTGTGGGTTTGTTTCTCAGTCAGGACACATACCTAGGTTACAATTTCAATTCCTGGGCAGGGCGTGTTCTAGAGGTAACCAATCGATGTTTCTTTCTCTCTCTCTCTCAAAAATCAATAAACATATCCCCAAATAAAAAATAATAATAATAATAATGACTAGAAAAAATAATAATAAAGGCAGGCTTTCATTTCTTTCTACCTGCTGCTCCTGACCAGGGTTACTCTCCTTTCTAACTCGCTATAGAACAGAAGCAAGAACATAATTTTCCCCTCTTGACTCTAAAACTTTCTTTTAAACATTATTTAAAAAATAATTTCTAACATTAACTTTTGTGAAAAAAAAAAAATTTTGCTTTTGGTTTCAGAAATGAGTACCATTTTTTTTCCCATAAATTTATTTATTTCAGCTACTGGGTGTACCAAATGTTAGGATATCTCCCTATTGGTACTCATTTCAAAATAAAAAGCTGCTTCCTCTATTTTTCCATTTATATCATGTTAATTAATCTTGTATAGGCATCACTTTCTCCTACACTTTATAAAATTCAGTCTGCCCTGAAAATTGCTTTTTGTTTCAAGTATTACATCAAGCAAGACATAGTTAGATAAACTACCTGAAGGTGCTCCAACCCAAGCCAGACCCAGAACACCATCATCAAAATCTCGGTCTGTGAAGACATAGGCCAAACAGTAATCATCATGATTCTGCTCAGAATTCAATTCCAGAAACTTCTCCACACCAATATTTGGAAAACGGAAGGGATTTGTGGGGTCTTTCTCATCAGCAGTTGTATTGATCTAAAATCCAAAAACAATTAATGTTAGCAGAGTCTTAGTGTAAGTCTTTATTCACATCTTTCTGATCTGTGTGAACAATATGTTTGGGGCTCCTAGGAAAGCAGGCCTCAATTAAGGCTTTTACAGTTGTACCCACTGTCCCCAATCCCTGAGCTGATTACAGAAGCCAAAAAGAAAGACAAGATAGAATGTTACATTTCTGAGCAAGTATTCACCAGATTCCTGGACACTGAACACTTGGGATGGAAAAACAAGTTCTGCTTTCAAGACTTCTACTAAAGTACGAACAGTTTCTCAAATTTAATCATCTGAGCAAGTCTCTTTAAGTTCTAATCGCCTATTTATGGTGACAAATGTAAGAACATAAACCCACCTTTCAGCTAATTACCAGAACATAAAACAAATATTGAACCCAAGACTGTCAATTCAGCAGATAAACCATTTTCTTGGTTCTCCTTGCAAGTTCAATTTTTGTTCCTGATGTGGCAAAAAATGAATAAATAAATAAAAAATTTTCCCTGACAATTTATTTCTTGTACTATGTCAGGTTGAGTTCCTCTAGAATGTTTCTTTTGACACTTAGCTACTGTACTCCCAGTACAGGTTCTTCCTTTACAACCTGAAGAATAATAGGGTTCTGATAACAAACTTTTGCTAAACAAAAGCTCTCATTCATAAGCCCCTGCTTTGTTTCAGAGACCACACCCCTATCTGTCCTTTGAAGTCCTAGAACAATCTGGCTTTCCTCAAGTAAGTCAGAGAATTACATACATATTGTTATTAGAGAGTAAAAAGGAGTATGCGTGAAAGTAAACAGTTTTTAGAAGGCAAACCTCAGTCTATGTCAGAAAATGTCAGTAGTAAGGGAGGATATTAACAGTTGATAAAATAAGAATTACTGGTCTGTTTAGGATACATGCTCTTCAGTAAAACCAAGGGACTTAGCAGCAGAATAGTAATTGCTAGGGATGGATTTCAGAACATCCATTTATCCATTAACAATTAACCAAAAAAAATCAGTTGTAGTCATCTAACACACACACCCACAAAAATAATTCAAAAATAGCCCTGGCCAGTTTGGCTCAGCGGTTGGAGCATTGGCCTGCGGTCTGGAGAGACCTGGGTTCAGTTTCCGCTAAGGGCACATACCTCGGTTGCAGTTTGTCCCGGCCCTAGTTGGGTCGTGCGGGTGGCAGCCACTCGATGTGTCCCTTTCACGTTGATGTTTCTCTCTCTCTCTCCCTCCCAATCTGAACAAAAAAAAATAATAATAATCCAAAAATAAGCACGCTATATATGATAAATAGCCCATGCTTAGAAACATGCTTTAGATGGCTTTCCCCCACTAAATATAGAAATGAAATTCCCTGATACTTCTATAAATACCATAAACAATACACTATACACTATAAATAAAAAGTGTACCTAAATTTTAGTTATCTATGTTAAAAATGAAAGTATTAATAGTTAAATATTTGCTAATATAAATTTCTAATTATTTGATGAGTCACAAGTAATCTTCAACAGATGAAATTTAAAGTTTTAATCCCAGTTAAAGCCTGAAAACAACCAACTGACACATTACCCATTTTTACAGTATGTGCATTTCGTCATAATGAAAATAATTTTACTAAAAAAAAAATGTTTCACTAAAATTTGTTCAGGTGGTCACTACTTTTCACTCCTTTACACTTTATTGCTCTACCTAGTAAACAGCAATACTTACACCAGTTACTACTTTTACGTGCTCATTTAAAGATTTATATTGCTCTTAAAATACAGGAAAACAATTACAAATAGTTCTTACATTATCTTTCTATAAACGATATTTCACCTTAAAATAACCCAGTTTTATATTTAACCATACTACTTCTAAAAGGACCATCTTCAGCTACGTTATTAGATATATTATATGTAAGTACTAATATTATAAGTAGTCAATCACATTGTAAGAAAAATAAGAACACAAATATAACAACAAAACCCTAAGGCAAATACTTTTATAAGATAATTTTTTTTTAATCCTTACCCGAGGATATTTCTCTATTTATCTTCAGATAGAGTGGGAGGGAGAGAAACGGAGAGAGAAACATTGACGTGACAAGGACACAGGGCCAGGGACGAACCGCAACCGGAGTACGTGCCCTTGGCCGGAATCGAACCCAAGACTCATTGGTCTGCAGGCTGAACCTCTACCACTGAGCCAAACTAGCCAGAGCTATAAGATGATTTTTTTAAAAACTCAGGTTATTTATCTAGTTTATAAATTCAGATTCTTAAAAGCTATAGACATTGAAACAATTCATATGTAGAAAACTTTTGAAACAATTAGCCCAATTTTGTTAGTAATGGAATATTTACTTATTTGCAATTTATAAGATTACAATTAATAATAAGTGGCCTGATCAGCATTTCTCAAAACGTGTCTGCAGTTCCTTGGAGTCTCAACTGATGTTAATATAAAAAAAGGTTCAATGATCAAATTTATTTAGAAAAATATGGGTTTCTTTCACGAAGGGCTTCTCAAAATCTGCAATATGTTAGTGTGCACTGTGAATTTTCAAGAAGATGGTATATAGAATTAAGTAGTTTTTCAACTTTCAATTTTATAAACCACTGTATCTATCCTTCCCTCTGCTGGAATACACTGAAATACACTGCACAAGGTGAATCTTTAAAAACTGGGGAATAATACCAAGAGGAAAAAATGTCAAGTACTGTGTAGTTATTGAGAAGTTAGAACTTTCTAACTGGAATGTTAATCAGATAGAAAACAGTACCGCCATACCTATTTTGCAGCCCAGATTAAAGTCCTATAGATTTCATTCTAAAATCATAAACCCAGGTATCCCCTCTACGTGCGTGCATATGTGTATGTGTATAAAAGCCAAGAGTAAAGACAAATTGCATCAGTAAATACAATTTAAACTATTTAATGTATATAAATGAAGTAAAAAGTACACCTTTTTCTTTTAGTAAACACGGTCCTTATTATTTCTCTTTTGTAACATTCTTAACTATTAAAACTCCTTACCCTTATGCGTTTCACCATAAAACTGATGTTACGGATTCCAGAGAAGTCTGTGGTCTGATAAATTGTATCAATTGCTTTAACATGACTGGATATCTACCAATTCAAAAAAAAAAGAGAAAAACATTTTAGACACAATGTTAAATGTGGAAAAGACAATTTCCATCTTCCAAATCAGAAATTATTCATTTTCCACCACATTCAAATTTTAAAATGTCTACATCATATACCACATGAAAAAATGAAACAAATTAGTAAGCTGGAGCTAAAAGGAAAATATTTTATTCTTTTTCCAGACTCCTCTCTGGTCCAAACCAAACATGCGCTCTTCTCAGCCATATAAAACTATTTCCTATATGATACTTTTATGCCTTCTCACATGCTGTTTCCTTATGCCTAGGGTATTCACCCTTCAGACTCAGCTCAGCTCAAACATCTATGAGAACTTCCCTGATAGTATCAGAACGTTCAGTCATTATCTGACTTGGTCTTTCTATTACAGCACTAGTACACATTCTGTAAGGTGTTTTGTTTTTTCAAACTATTTTTAAATTTTATTTGTTTTGTTGATCACTTACTATATATACCAGGCACTGTTTTAGATGCTGAGGATATAAAGGTGAACAAAATAGAAAAGGTACCTATTAATTCATAGATATTTATTTGCCAGGATTGGGGGGGGGGGGCAGGGAGTAGTAATAAAAAAATAAATAAGATGTTCAGATTTTGCTAAATTCTAGTAAGAGATTAACATGGAATACAGTAATAGAATACAAAACGATCCTCTATTTACCTACCTGACTACCAGTTAAACTCTCTTGCGTCTAAACCCCTCTGTATAGAGAGCCTGGCTGGTGTGGCTCAGTGGATCAAGCATCAGACCAAAGACTGAGAGGTCCAGGTTCGATTCCTAGTCAGGGTACATGCCTGGGTTGCAGGCTCAATCCCAAGTAGGGGGCGTAAGAAGACAGCCGATCGATGTTTCTTTCTCAAATCAATGTTTCTATCTCTCAATGTTCCCTTCCCTTCCTCTTTCTCAAAAATCAATAAAAACATATTTAAAATAAATAAATAAATAAACAAACCATTCTGTATACAACCTTCCCATCTTCATTTACAAAAAGTACTTGCTGTCTGGCCAGTGTGGCTCAGTAGTTGAAAGCTGACCCATGCACCAAGAGGCTGCCGGTTTGATTTCCAATCAGGACACATGCCCAGGTTGTGGGCCCGATCCCCGGTGCGGGACATTGTCTAGCTCTCTCGCCCTCTCCCTTCCTCTCTCTCTAAACCCAATAGAGGAAAACAGATTTTTTTTTAAAAAAGAAAAACTTGCCCTGGCCAGTTTGGCTCAGCGGTTAGAGCGTCGGCCTGCGGTCCTGAGAGACCCGGGTTCGGTTCCCGCTAAGGGCGCGTACCTCAGTTGCAGTTTGTCCCAGGCCCTGGTCGGTTGTGCGGGTGGGAGCCACTCGATGTGTTCCTTTCACATCGATGTTTCTCTCTCTCCCTCTCTGTTCCTCTCTCCCCCTCCCACTCTACCTGAACAAAAAATGGAAAAATGTCCTCAGGTGAGGATAAAAAAAAAAAAAAAAAAAGAAAGAAAAGAAAAAGTACTTGCTACCATTTATGTCAAAACATTGTTTTATACACACACACACACACTATTTTCAAAGAAATTATATAAGATAGTCAAGTAGAAGCATTAACAATAAAAATTTCAAAAGTAGCCCAGGTTGTAAAACATTGATAAAGAAAAGTTTTAACAATGCTGATAGATTACATTAAAAATTCATGTTGTCGCCCTGGCCGGTTTGGCTCAGTGGTTGGAGCGTTGGCCTGCGGTCCAGAGAGACCTGGGTTCGGTTCCCGCTAAGGGCACATACCTCAGCTGCAGTTTGTCCCCGGGCCCTGGTAGGGTCGTGCGGGTGGCAACCACTCGATGTGTCCCTTTCACGTCGATGTTTCTCTCTCTCTCTCTCTTTTCCTCTCTCTCCTTCCCACACTATCTGAACAAAAAATGGGAAAATGTCCTCGGGTGAGGATATAAAAAAAAAATTCATGTTGTCTATGGACAGACCTGGAGATTATTATGCTAAGTTAAATAAGCCAATCCGAGAAAGACAAATATCATATGATCTCACTTATATATAGAATCTAAAGAACAAAATAAACTGATGAACAAAACAGATCCACAGATATGGAAGCATGGAACAGACTGACAGATCCCAGAGGATAGGTGGGAAGGAGATCCGGAAGAGATTAATCAAAGAACATATATGCATATAAGCATAGCCCATGGACACAGACAATAGGTGAAGGCTAGGGTGGGGTGGGAGAATGGTGGAGGGGGGCAAATTGGGGATATCTGTAATACTCTCAACAATAAAATAAATTTAAAATATAAAAAAATAAAATTTAAAAAATGAAAAAGGAATCATCACTAGTGATCAGATGGACATTAAAATCACAAAATATAATGCTAAATACAATGGGTATACAGAACAGAAATTAAATACTTCTTGTTGAAACAATTCCTCTATCCTTTACTCTTTTAAGACCACAAATGAAAATTCAATCCTCTCTTCGAAGCTAAGTTTCAGTGTCATCTTCTTTTATAGTATACTTTTCTTACACCTCTCTTTTGAATAACATTAAAATATCCTAACTGGTCTTTCAGTTATCTGTGTACTTATCTTACATATTTTATTATATCACAATTGAAAATATATACTCTTTATTTTTCAAAAATGAGGTACGTGCTTTTACTTTTTATAAAAATTTTTTATAGAGAGAGGAAGGGGAGGGGGAGAGAGAGAGAGAGAGAGAGAGAGAGAGAGAGAGAGAGAGAGAGAGAAACATCAGTTGGCTTCTTCCTGCATGGGGATCGAGCCTGCAACCTGGGCCTGTGCCCTGACCAGTGGAACCAGCAACCTCTCAGTATGTGGGATGACACGCAATCCACTGAGCCATAGCAGCTGGACAAAGTTTTTAATTTTTAGAGGAAAATATAGCTATAATGATACAAGAACTCCTAAAATAGTAGGAAAATTATAAATACCTGGGCAATCACAGCTTCTCGTGTTCCATAATATTTAAAGAACAGATGATCAGTCTGAATATAAAGCTGACAAGTATTTTTTTCAGCTACAGTTGTACGTTTTTTCCTCAAGAGTTCGGGACCATTAACAGCATGTTCTTCTTTAGGTGTCTATATGTCAAAGAGAGACATTTCTAATGATTAGCATGCTTCACTAACATAATTTTATACAGAACACATTACAATTTCATATTTTGCTTTATTATGAGTATACAATATAAACTATTTCATATTATAAACAAGAGTACACATTATAAAAATTTCATATTCTGCTTTACTGTGTAACACCATATGCATTTCCCCATACCATTAAAAATTCTTCATAAACATCACTTTCAGCCTTATAACATCTACTTCAGAGATGTTTGTTTATTCAAGTGATTCTTTCACATTTTAAACATTTTCTAAACATACCTTTTAATATGTAATCATTTGAATATAAAGCAAGTCTTATAGTAATTTATTAAATACTTTGATATCTTCTTCCATCTCAACTCTGTAAACCCAATCTATCACCTAGCCCTGTAAAATTTGTCTCCTAAATACCTAAGGAACCTACCTAATATCTCTGGCTCTATCACATTAGCCCACGCTACCATCATTTATTAACAACAGTGCTGCAATAAGAGCAATATAATCTATCCATATCCATTACTGGCCTTTAATCTATTCTCTATACTGTAATCTTTTCAAAATGCAAACTTGAAAGTATTACCCACCTGCAGAATATATTTCAATGACTTCCTATTTCTCTAAGGATAAAGCCCTAAATCAGCACTTTTAGACTCTACTTACCTGTCCAATTCCTTCCCATTCCATATTACTTCACAGAGCGACCCTACAACAATACCCAACTCTAGCTCTCTGTGTACAGCTACACAGGCCTTCTTTCCAATTATCCAAGAGAGTCCTTGCACATTCTGTTGCTACCTCTTCTGATCTAGTTAACTTCTTCCTTTATACTTAGTGAAGGTCAATTCATCCATTATAGTACCTCATAGAACCATGTCCCATGTCCTTACGCAAAGGAACTTTACAGTTTATTGTGTGGTTATTTGATTAATGTCTGTTCCCAGCCTAACACCTATTACTTCAACCACTAGAACATGAGTTCTAGAAAAAAGACACCATCTCTGTGTTTGCTTCTCAGTATATTGCCATCACCTAACAGACTTGGCAGGCAAAAGGAATGTTCAATAAGTACTTGTTTAAAGAATTACCACTGCAATCAAATCCAAGTACTTACACATTTGTTGACATGTAAAAGCACCATTTTAAAAGAATTTTGATGACACCGTAATAGAGAATTCAAATTAAATTTTAAGCCACAATTTCAAATTTACAATTTTGTTCTTCCTTGACAACTCCATGTTTGACTATTCTCTTAGGTATTGTCTTCATTTTAATGTTACCTATTTTCACAGAGTACATCATTCTAGGTTGGCAGTAACTCTGTTTCAAAACATTCCATTGTCTTCTGGTTTCGACTGTTCCCAATGAGGAATGAGCTGTCATTTTTACTGTTGCTTCTTTGAAGGTAACTGGACTTTTTTTATTGGTGCTTTAAAGAGTATATCTTTTGGTTTTTGTACTTTTGTAATAATGTGCTAGAATGTCATTTTCATCATTATAAAGTATTTATCATGCTCTAATTACAGGGCTTACTAAATTTATTGTTTGATATCCTGTGACATTTAGAAAATTCTCTGCCATTATCCCTAGTTCACTCTCATCTTTTTCTGAGATATCAATTATACACGTTAGACCTTAGTAATGTATTACCTATATCTCTTATGCTCTTTTCTGTATTTTCTCTCCTGTCTTCTTATGACATGCATCTTGATCTAAATCCACCAAATTCTTAATTTCTGTTGTATTTTTGAAGTTTAGAATTTCCATTGGTTTTTTTGTCCATTTTTAATTTTTTGCTACAATTTTAATTATCTCCTAAATAAGTTTTTATTTTTTTCCCTTTTTATTAAATTTATTGGGGTAACATTGGTTAACAAAATTATACAAATTTCAGAAGCACAAGTCCACAATGCATCATCTATACACTGTATTTTTTATTTTAAAGAATAGTTTATTGAGCCCTGGCCGATTTTGCTCAGTGGTTAAAGCATCGGCCTGTGGTCCAGAGAGACCCAGGTTCGGTTCTCGCTAAGGGCATGTACCTCGGTTACAGTTTGTCCCCGGCCGGCCCTGGTTGGGTCGTGTGGGTGGCGACCACTTGATGTGTCCCTTTCACGTCGATGTTTCTCTCTCTCTCTCTCCCCCTCCCACTCTATCTGAACAAAATATCAAAGGGTGTCCTCGGGTGAGGATAAAAAAAAAGAATAGTTTATTGATTTTTAGAAAGAGAGGAAGGGAGAGGGAAAGAGAGAGAAACAGCTATGTAAGAGTGCAACACCAGTTGTCTCCTGCATGCTCCCTACCAGGCATCGAGCCTGCAACCCAGGGAATATGCTCTTGACTGGGAATTTAACCAGCAACCTCCTGGTACATGGGACAGTGCCAAATCAACTAAGCCACATAGGCCAGGTGCATACACTGTATTGTGTGTTTGTTCACCACACCAAGTCAAGTCGCCTTCCATCACGATTTACCACCCCAATACATTCCTCCAACTCTACTAATGCTCCCCTCCTCTGCAATCATCACACTATTGTCCGTGTCCATGAGTTCTTTTCTTTTTCCTTTTTTGCTCAATCCCTCTATCTCAGACACCCACCCAACCACCCAAACTGCCCCATGTCCCACCCCCCAACAGTTGTGAGCCTGCTCTCTTATCGATGAGTCTGTCTCTATTTTGCTTGTTAGACCATTTCGTTCATTAGATTATACATAAGAGTAAAATATAGTACTTGTCTTTTTCTCACTGCCTTATTTCACTTAGCATAAAGCTCTGTAGGTCCATCTATGCTGTCGCAAAGGGTAAGATTTCCCTCTTTTTACAGCCGAGTTGTATTTTATTGTATATATGTACCACAGCTTGTTTATCCACTCATCTATTGATGGACACCTAGGCTGCTTCTAAATCTTTGCTATTGTAAGTAACTCTTCAATTAACATAGAAATGCATATATTCTTTCAAATTAGTGTTTCGGGTTTCTTCAGATATGTTCCCAGAGTGGAATCACTGGGTCATAAGGTAGTTCAATTTTTCATTTTTTGAGGTAACTCTATACTGCTTTCCAAGTGGCTGCACCAATCAGCATTCCCATCAACAATGCACAAGGGCTCCCATTCTCCACATCCTGACTAACACTTGTTGTTTGTTGATTTATTGATGACAGCCATTCTGACAGGTGTGAGATGATACATCACTGTGATTCTAATTTGCATTTATCTGATGATTAATAACACTGGGCATATTTTCATATGTCTCTTGACCATCTGTATGTCCTCTTTGGAGAAGTGTCTATTCAGGTCCTTTGACCATTTTTAAATTAAATTGTTTGTTTTTTTGGTGCTGAGTTTTATAAGCTCTTTATACATTTTGGAAATAAACCCCTTATTAGATGTATCACTGGAGAAGATATTCTCACATTCAGTGGGTTGTATTTTCATTTTGTTAGTTTCCTTTGCTATTTTTCTTTTGTGTCCATTGCCCGAGGCGATATATCAGAAAAAATACTGCTATGAGAAATGCCTGAGATTTTACTTGCCATGTCTTATAGGATTTTTATGATTTCACGACTTACATTAAGTCTTTAATCCATTTTGAGTTCATTCCTGAGTATGGTGTAACAAGGTGGACTACTGTAATTTTATTGCATGTATCTGTCCAATTTTCCCAACACCATTTATTGAACAATCTTTACTCCATTTTATGTTCTTGTCTCCTTTGTCAAATATTAATTAATTATAAGGGCATAGGTTTATTTCTGAGCTCTTTATCCTGTTCCATTGATCTATATGTCTTTTTTTATACCAGTACCATGCTGTTTTTATTACTCTGACCTTGTAGTATAGTTTGATATCAGGTAGCATGAGTCCTCCAACTTTGTTATTCTTTCTCAAGATTGCGGTGGCTATTTGGGGGTGTTTGTAGTTCCATATAAATTTCTGGAGTATTTGTTCTAGTTCTGTGAAATACACCATTAGTATCTTGATAGGAATTGCACTGAATCTTCAGATTGCTTTGGGTAGTATGGACATTTTAATGATGTTAATTCTTCCAATCCATGAACATGGTATATGCTTCCACTTATTTGTATCTTCTTCAATGTCTTATAATTTTCCCAGTACAGGTCTTTTACATCCTTGATTAAATTTATCCCCAGGTATTTTATTCATTTTGAAGCAAGTGTGAATGGGATGGTTTTCTTAGTTTCCCTTTCTAATAGGTCATCATTGGTGTATAAAAATACAACTAATTTCTGGGTATTTATTTTGTATCTTGCCACTTTATCGAATTCATTTACCAGTTCTAGCAGTATTTTAGTGAAATCTTTAGGTTCTTAAAGTATTGTGTAACCTGCAAATCGTGACAGTTCTCCTTCCTTTCCAATTTGAATGCCTTTCATTTCTTCTTGTCTGGTGGCTGTGACTAGGACTTCCAGTACTATGTTGAGTAAGGCTGAGGAAAGCTGACATCCCCACCTTGTTGCTGATCTTAAGGGAAAAGCTTGTAGTTTTTGCCCATTGAGTATGATGCTGGCTATGGGTTTTTCATATATAGCCTTTATTAAGTTGAGGTATGTTGCCCTAGATTTCCATTTTGCTCAGTTTTTTACATAAATGGGTGCTCGATTTTATCAAATGCATTTTTGCATCTATTGATTTGATTGGGTGCTTTTTATCCTTCATTTTGTTTATGTGGCTTATCACATTTATTAATTTGCAGATATATACCAACCTTGCAACCCCAGAATAAATCCTATTTGATTATTATGTATGATCTTTTTAATGTATTGCTGGATCCAAGTTGCTAATATTTTGAGGATGTTAGCATGTATATTTATCATGGATATTGGCCTATAATTTTCTTTATCTAGTTTTGGAATTAGGATAATGCTAGCCTCATAAAATGAGCTTGGGAGTCTTCCCTCCTCTTAAATTTTTTGGAATAGTGTAAAAAGGATAGGTGTTAGTTCTTCTTTGAATGTTTGATAGAATTCAGCTGTGAAACCATCTGGTCCAGGACTTTTGTTTGTTGGGAGTTTTTAAAATTTTTATTACTGTTTCAATTTCACTTGCTGTAATCTGTCTACTCAGATTCTCTGATTCTTCCTGACTCAGTTATGAAAGTGTGCATGTTTCTAGATATTTATCTATTTCTTCCAGATTGTCCAATTTCTTGGCATATAGTTGTTTGCAATATTTTCTTTTTTTTTATCCTCACCTGAGGACATTTTTCCATTTTTTGTTCAGATGGGGGGGGGGGGGCACATTGATGTGAAAGGGACACATCGAATGGCTGCCACTGCATGACCAACCAGGGCCGGGAAAAACTGCAACCGAGGTACACGTCCCTAGTGGGAACCGAACCCGGGTTTCCCTGGACCACAGGCCGACGCTCTAACCGCTGAGCCAAAGCGGCCAGGGCTGTGCTATTTTCTTATAACCCTTAGTATTTCTTTGGTGTCAGTTGTTGCTTCTCCTCTATCATTTCTGATTTTATTTATTTGGGTCATAGCTCTTCTCTCTCTTTCTTTCTTTCTCTATTTTCTTAAAGGTTTGTCTATCTTGTTTCTCTTTCCAAGAATCAGCTCTTGATTTCATTGATCTTTTGTATTGTTTTTTTTTAGATTCTATTTTGTTTATTTCTGCACCGATTCTTATTCTGTCTTTCCTTCTATACACTTTCGGTTTTGCTTGTTCTTTTTTCAAGTTCCTTTAAGTGTATAGATTGTTTATTTGAGATTTTCCTTTTTTCTTTAGATGGGTTTGTAATGCTATGAATTTCCCTCTTAGGACTGCTTCCCCTATGTCCCATAGATTTGGAGTTGTTGTATGTTAATTTTCATTTGTTTTCAGTTAACTTTTGATTTCTTCCTTGACCTCATTGTTAACCCATTCGTTGTTTAGTAACATGTTATTTAGTCTCCATGTCTTTGTGTGTTTTTCAGTTATTTTCTTGTGAATGATTTCTAGTTTCACACCACTATGGTCTGAGAAGATGCTTGATGTGACTTCAATCTTCTTAAATTTATTGAAACTTGTTTTGTGTCCTGACGTGGTCTGTCCTAAAAAATGTTCCATGGGCAGTTGAAAAGAATGTATATTCTGCTGCTTTGGGGTGAAATGCTCTGAAGATATCAATTAAATCCATCTGATCCAGTGTGTTATTTAAGGCTACTATTTCCTTATTCATTTTCTGCCTGGATGATCTATCCATTGATGTCAATGGGGGTGGGGGGGTAAAATCCCTTACTATAACCGTATTACTGTCAATCTCTCCCTTTATGTCCATCAAGATTTGCTTTACATATTTAGGTGCTCCTATGTTGGGTGCATAAATGTTTACAAGGGTATATATCCTCTTGCTAGATTGCTCCCTTTACCATTACACAGTGTCCTTCGTAGAATTTCTCTTACTATATATCCTTTGTTTTAAAGTCTTTTGTCAGATATATTACTACCCCAGATTTTTCCTTATAAATAAAATTTTTAAATGAGAAAAAAATGTCCTTTGTATTTACCTACATATTTATTATGCTTTGTTCTTCACTTCTTTGTATAAATCTGTATTTCCATCTCTTATCCTTTTTCTACCTGAAGAACTTCCATTAATAATTCTTGCAGATCTACAAATTCTCTCAGCTTCTGTTTGTGTAAAAAAGATCTTTAGTTTATCCTCATTTTGAAAATTATTTTCACAGAATAAAGAATCCTACTTTGGTAGGTTTTTTGTTTGTTTTTCTTCCCAACACTTTGAAGACGCCATTATAGAATCTTCAGTTTGCACTGTGTATGAGAAGCCAAGAGTTATTGTCACTAGTGTTCCCTGTATATAAGTGCACCTTCTTTTCTCTGGCTGCTTTTATTTATAATTTTCTCATTTTCAGTAGTTTCCAATAATGTGATTATAACATGCCCTAGTATGGTTTTCTTTGTGTTTATCCTACCTGGGTTTCGCTAAGGTTCTTGACCATAAATTAAAATTTTCCTTCATATTTAAAATTTTGGAGACATTAATATCAAGTATCAGGACTACTTCTTTATTGTAGGCAAGTTAACTGGCCTCTTAGCATTAAAAAATACCTATATTCTCCAGTGTTATAAATCTTTTTGTTAATACAGGAACACATGCCCAAGTTCCATTCTTTTTTTCCTTTATTGATTTTAGAGAGCAAGGAAGGGAGAGGAAGAGAAATAGAAACACTGATGAGAGAGAACACTGACTGGCTGCCTCCTGCATGCCACCCACTGGGGATTTGGCCCAAAACCTGGGCATGTGCCCTGACTAAGAATCAAACCAGTGACCTCTTGGTGCATGGGTTGATGCTCAGCCACTAAGCCACACCAGCCGGGCCATTTCCATTTGTTTTCTTTTTTTTTTATACTCACCCAAGGACATTTTTCCATTTTTTTCAGATAGAGTGGGAAGGAGAGAGAGGAAGAAAGAGAGAGAGAGAGAGAGAGAGAGAGAGAGAGAAACATCAATGTGAAAGGGACACATCGAGTGGCTGCCTCCCGCAGGGCCCAACCAAGGCTGGGGACAAACTGCAACCGAGGCACGTGTCCCTAGCGGGAACTGAACCCAGGTCTCTCTGGACCGCAGGCCAACGCTCTAACCACTAAGCAAAACCGGCCAGGGCTCATTTCCATTTCTTAAATGCAAACTAGTATTAAAATCCTTACCTGTGTTACTTCCTCTACACCAGTCATCTGGTACTTCCTCATCCTTTCAAATACTGAATGATCTGCACAGCCCCCCTGTGGACCATATTTATGGGGATAGTCTAAAACACAAAGAAGAAATATCATTATTGTCACATGTTCAGATATTATAAATTATCTTATAAATGAAAATGTAATCGTCATAAGTAATATAGAAAAGGAATTGTGCTAGGTATCCTAATTCTCAAATCTGGTAGGTTCCTAAGTTCTCCCTCAATAAAACACCACTGGTCTCTAAATCTTTATCATATAGATGACATGTGAATTACAAAACCAGAACAATAATCACTGTATAACAATAATCACTGTATACTCCCAACCTTTCCCACTTTGGACATACAGAACATCTTAATACTGCGATTTACTTTATTTTGTAGTTTATAACTTTCCCTTCAAATGCATTAAATTCCCAAGGTGCAAAGTACAAAACAATCTCAATATGAACTATAAGTAGGCTAATATAATGTTATATTTGGTTTGAATTCCTTCCATGAAAACCAACTGGCCTCAGAAACATGTTTCAGGGCACAGTATAAGCAGACAGAGTTTAAATGTATTAATGTATAATTCAAGTAAATACTTTATAAACCAATAACTATTTTATCACCATTTTTCTCCCTTTATAAAAACAACGGTTAATGTATCCTTAAATGAATTGGTTCTATTTCCAGATAACTATTTAATTTAATCTAGTCATTTAAAAGTTTACTCTACTCTCAAAATTCACATACTTCTCCATTAAGATCCTGCTTAGTGGCCTGGCTGGTTTGGCTCAGTGGTTAGAGCATCAGCCGGCAGACTGGAGAGACCCGGGTTCGGTTCCCGCTAAGGGCATGTACCTCAGTTGCAGTTTTTCCCCAGCCCCTGTGTTTCTTTCTCTCTCTCTCTCTCTCTCTCTCTCTCTCTCTCCCTCCCTCCCTCCCTCCCTCCCTGCCTCTCCCTCTCCCTCTGTCTCTCTCCCTCCTGCTCTATCTGAAGATAAATGCAGAAATGTCCTCTGGTGAGGATAATAAAAAAGATCCTCCTTCATTTATGACCATATTTTATAATTCAATATAGTAACCATAATTAAGAGAATTGTCAAAATTAAATACCAAGACATGGGTGAGAGGGAAAGCACTGAAAAATCCTTATGTAGCTTATAGATATAATCTACGGAATTATAATTTGAAACACTGCAGGTAGTTTAAGAAAAATCTAGAACCTAAAGTGGAGATTAGTAATCTATTTCACTGAAAATACAAATTTAACACAACACAAATCTAAACTGGCAAGTAGAAAGTAGGCACATGGATAACCTATCTACACTAATATAACAGCTGTGATTTAAACTTTAAATTCATTTTTATGTCAAGATTGCCAACAGCTGTAAAATTCTAATCAATAAATGTAAAAGAAATGACAGACTTAAAAGTTACTATTTTACAACCCCACTCATTGGTTAATGAAGCTAAGGATCATCAATGGGTGCTAAAACCACTGAGTAAAAGATATAAGATAACAGGATATTGATAGTCTCTGAAAGTGTCACCCCAACAGATTACTTAATAATTATAAAAGAAAAAGGTACCTTCACATCAAAGCTATATAGCGATTACCACCTCATTTACCAAGTGATCAAATTAAGCATTACCAATAGTAGAAAAACTTGGTATTATGTGCCTCCTGTTGTGATGCAGTTAAGAAAACATTCAGCTTCACCTATGCAGCATTCTTGTCAAAATATGTTAACTGAATCTAATCACAATGAGACACACCAAGAATGTGAAACATTCTATAAGTCACTGACCTAGACATGTGGAAAAAAAAGGCAATGGCATTAAAAATAAATAAATAACAGAAAAAGTTGAGAACTGGAGGGTTGGAGGAGCCTGGAAGTCAATACATTAAAAGAGACATGATAAACAAATGCAGATAAAAATTTTTTAGAACTGAAGAAATTTTATTATAGACTATACAGTAAATTATAGTAAATTAATGTTCATTTTTTAGGGGTAAAACACTATTACAGTTATTTAGAAAAAGGTACATATTCTTAGGAGATGTGTGCTTCAGTATTTAGCAGTGATGTTTCATGTGGTCTGAAGTCTACTTTCAAATGGTTCCCCAGCCCTGGTGGGTTTGGCTCAGCGGTTAGAGCATCGGCCTGCGGGCCTATAAGCCGTGGGTTCAATTCCGGTCAAGGGCACGTACGTACCTCATTTGCAGTTTGTGCCTGGCCCTGGTCAGGGTCATGCAGGAGGCAACCAGTTGGTGTGTCTCTCTCACATTGATGTTTCTCTCTCTCTCTCCCTCCCATTCTATCTGAAGATAAATAGGAAAAAAAATCCCCGAGTAAGGATTAAAAAAAACAAAAAACAAATGGTTCCCAAAAAAAGTTTGTTGAGGGAGGTGTAAAATACTCAAAAATGGAAAACCAGAAAGAAGGATGTATGTGTTCCTCGTATAATTCTTGCAGCTTTTTTAAGTTTGAAATCTTCAAAATTAAATTAGAAGTAAAAAATTACAATATCAGTGGAACAAGCTCAAATGATTTTGAAATGGAAAGGTACCACAACTGAAATGAACAAGAAAAAACCAATATATTTATTATTTTATCATTTCAAAAGCTCACTTGAGCAAAGTGAAAATACAATACCATCCAACATATATTTAAAGAATCTACCATAAAGGCTGGAAAGTTTCACAGTGTAATATGCCAAATTTTTCAGTTCTCACCATTTAGTTGATTTGAGGTATTATCAAACCACACTGCCTTCTTTTACTTCTATAATTTTAACCTGAAAATGTCCCAGTGAGCCTTGCCCAGTTTCTTAATGGAACCTTGCTTGCCTGGACCACAAGCTAAAGAAGTTCCTCCATGTCAAGAACACAATATAAAGGCATATTCATAGACAAGTGTACATACGCACTCAAATTCCTTCTTCAGTTAACAGACTTCAGCTCTCTTGAAATTTTCCTACTTGTTTTAATTATCATATAAAGTCAAGTCCACAGTTTGATATTACTTATACATCCATTACTTTGTGCTATTTTACCCAAAATAGTATAGTCTAGTATCCAGTGACTAAAAATGTGGCCTGATTTTTTGGCGTTTTCCCTTAAATCATGGATAAGAAAATAATGTATCTATTTCTTACCAAATAACAAGGTGAATGAGGAGGAATCCTTCTGCTGACTCTGGCAGCAACTAAGCAGATAAGTAAAAAATGCTCTAGTAGTACTGATATACAAAATATTTGGCCACAGAAAACAGATAATACTAAGTAATATATTTTCAAAAGCTTGTTTTAATTTGTTTCATTGTGATAAGCAATTAATTTATTATTCAATTAGTATATTATGTTCTTATTTTTCCTTTATGGATCAGTTTGTGGTGCCTTAATATAGATTGTTTATTACAATAACAGTTAATAATCTATTTTACATTTATCTTAGACTAATTTATTCAATGAAATAACCATGCATTTAACATTTGATGAAATTCTTGAATTAGACATCTCCCAACACATAAAAAAGACGTATTTTAAACTACAGTTCTAATTTATCATAAAGTTTCATAAAATTATCTTAATAATTTCCATACCCAAACTGCTGTCTCTCATACATGAACATGAGCACAGACACAGGAGCATGGACACCAGTGGTGCCACTTCCAAATAAAAAAACTACTTAACTTAGAAAAGCCCTGTGATTAAATCATTATGGCCTGTTTTCAGATGACTTCCCCTCAATGTCTATCATACCTGGTCTCCCTAGACCACATGCCTTACCACTACCAAGTATTTTTTAAAAGCGTACGGGACTAGGAAATAATCTGTTTATCAAAATATACAACCTTCCCCCAAACCCCTCCTAACAATACATTAATCATGTAACCAGTAAAAAAAAAAAAAAAGAGTTTTTAACTGTTCAGAGATTTTATTTAAAAAATCAGTTTCATTCTTAGCACAGTATGGCAGTCATTGACCAAACAGGTTCCTCATTTATCCTGAACAAATCTAGACTAAATTTCCCAGCCTCCCATCCAAGCTAGGTGTGACATAACTTAGTTCTAGTTGAAGAAATGTGAGCAGTAGGGAAGTGCATCAGCCAGGGTCCTTTTCCCTAGTGAACAGCTGTTAGGAGACAACTGGGAACAGCATTAAAGTATAATATAGCACAAAATAAAGTAGCCTGGATTTCTACTTACTTGTTGAAGAAAAGCTGCATGATAAGGAATACTCACATTTAACTTTTACATAGTGAGAAAAGAACTTTTAATGCATTTTGTCACTGAATTTGGGGGCTGTAGTTATCATTACCTTAATACATGATGAAAACTTTTGTCAAGAACAGAACTTATTTTATTATCTGCTCTTCAGTAGCTATTTGGCAAATTTTTTATTATAGACAATAGCAAAATAATATTGCTCTAGCATATCAGAAGTTCTTTAGCAGTGTTGGTATTTGTTATTGTTTTCATTTATAACTAGTTTTCGCTCATCCTAAGATACAACTTCTGCCAAAAAATCAGTCATATAGTTAAGCTGAAGACTGATACAGTACAGTAATTAACTCTATGTTTTAACTAAAGATAGAACGAAGCTCATAGAATCTACAATACACAGATTAAACATACTGCATGCTTAGAAGTGCTATTATCATTTTCAAACAGTTTCTCAAAAAAGGATTTACTCAATGCAAGATTTTTCAGTTTCAGAAAAGAAAAAGCTGTTAGATTCATTAGCAATCTAGTTATAAGTCAGTTGATATGCCTGATTTTATTCAAATCTGGGAAATAACAAAGACCATAATCTGATCATGACAGAAATTAGGATTTACTTTCTTTCAAAGATATTATGAAATATACTTTGAATCAGCTCCCACACAGGCACAAAAGACCTGCTACAAAGTATTTCTGAGAAAGAATTTTATAGCTTCCAAACCTTGCGCATGGCATTTTTTAACTGAACATCTTACATTTTTAAATTCAAGACAGAACAAAAATATCCCCATCTTAAACAACTATAACATCATTTTTTTAATGTAACAGAGAAAGCTAAAGAAGAATATACATGTC